GCAGCCCAAACTTCATCTTCAGAGAAGGCACTTTCCAGCATGGTTGATGCATTATTGTGCATGTTAATGGAATTAAATTGGCCTCCCAGTTTAGCCTACACTTCCAATGCTCTGAGTAGAGTAATTTGAAATGATTCATCACAGCAGTTTTGATTTCAACAGGTTGCACCACTGAGATCCCATTGACTTCTATTGAATCAAGTGAATTTCTGTTATGTCTGTTTGTGGCAGTAATGTAGAAGAACCTGGTGTTCTTATCACCTTTCAGTGACCAGATAAGCCTAGATTTCTGTAACCACAATCTCTCATCCATCTTTCTCAATTTCCAAACTTCCCCTAATAATTCCATCCTTCTAGCAGATTCATCAACTTGGAGAGTTCTAACCTCAGCTAGCAAGTCCCATGAGTGAAGCTCAGCTTCCTTCTCCTTTAGATTTTCATTGATGTTACCAAATACCTCCTTATTCCATTTTTTCAGACACAGTTTAAGAGCTTGTAACTTCTTCTTTAGGATGTAACCTGCCCAGCCCTTCTCCCAATTTTGCTTCACTGTTTGATAAAAGCTGGTGTGCATAGCCCAAGAGTTAATAAATCTAAAGGGTCTAGGACCCCAATCCCTCTCATCCTCCATTAGCAACAGAGGACAGTGATCAGACAAGGATCTAGGCAAACCCCAAAGTTTGAACCTAAAAGATTCAAGCCACTCAGGATTTAAAATGAACCTATCAATTCTGCTCCACCTATCACCATCCTGAGAACTACCCCAGGTGTATCTTCTACCCAGCATTGGTAAGTCTAACCCTCCAATTTTTTCAATAAAATTTCCGAAATCCTTCATCCCCGCATCCCTTCTGACACAACCCTTCCTTTCCCCTATACTTTTGACTTCATTGAAATCACCCCCAATACACCAAGGATGAGTGAAAGTGGTTCTAAGACTGCATAATAATTCCCACAGTCTCCTCCTTTTCAGCAAATCATTAGAAGCATAAACATTGACAATAATACAGCTAAAGTTTAGAGAAGTGATACCTGAGAGCAAAATGAAATTCTTGCTGCAACAACAATCTGACAAAGAGAAAACCTCAGGTTTCCAAATACACAACAACCCACCTGCATTCCCTACTGTGTCAACAGCCATGAACTCCATCTGGTCCCCAGGCCATAAGAATCTAACAAATGATTCTGAGATCTCTGCCTTCTTGGTCTCCTGAATTAAAGCAATATCTACTTTTCTTACTCTAAGAAGCTCCTTTAGTTTCCTTCTTTTCTCCGGATTTCCCAACCCTCTAATATTCCAAGAGAATAACTTCATTGATAAACAAACTAAGGCTCCCAAACCACCTAAGCTTGCAGGATAAGGACTATTTAGCAACGTCCAGCTGCTTCCTCTTTTCCAGATCTTGGGTTTCAAGTTCCATGATCTTCTCAATAACTTCGGCCTCTTTTCCTTCACAATTAATGCCAAGAAGATTTTCAATTTGTAAGGTGGCTTGTGCCTCATTTAGAAGGAATCTTCCTCTGCTCGAACTGCTACTCAATGAAATCGAGTCTGACAGTGCCTTAGTGACAGCTCTGAGAAGCACGCCCTTGTTAATTCTTCCACCTCCATTTACCTTGGCCTTTGATTTCTTTGGAACTTTCGAAGGGTGTGTCTTTGCGGTAAACTGATATCTGCTAACCTCTGTTGCTTTACTAGTCCCCCCCTTTAGGCTTGACTGCATTAAGGGAGCAGCTACTACGGGTTGTAGCAACCCAGAGTCGGTTGGGTCAGCTCTGGGTTGTGATAAGGTATCCATTGCTCTGGGATTATGCAACCCAGAGCTGGTTGGGGCAGCACATCCTATTAGGTCCACCCTATTAGGCCCATGGACTATTAGAGGCATAGTGAGGTTTGAATTAACAAACTGGACTAGGCCTAAAAACACCTCCAGGTTCACGCTGGGCTGGGGTAATTCAGACCCACTGACGCTTTTCACAAAGCCAGGAGTAGAAATAAGCCCATCAACTAATCGGTTTTCATAATCTGCAACAAGGCCGTTGTTGTCTGACATGGTTGTCACATTCCTCAAGCATGCGTCTCCAATACTCGTCTTCTCCAAGTCTCGAGCCGTCTCCTTGATTACAGAGATAGCCATCAGACTATCATTACCTGACAACTCCTTTTCCTTTAATGCTCCTTGCATGCACACGCCACCGCCAGAGTTCCTTACGGGCTCCACCTCATCGTTCATTGCCACCTCATCATCTTCTTTCCTGAGGATTACACCATTGTCAACAGAGTGCTCATCCCCCCTGCTTGCATTAACAGAAGTAACCTCCCGCATATGAATATTAGAGAAACTTGGGTTGTCTATGACGACTACTTGCTCTTCACAAACTCGGATCTGGTGGAGTGTGCCTTTGCAATCCAGGGTTATCACTTGGTTAATGCTTTCTATTACTTTGGTTGTTATTTTGACTTTACCACAGCAAAGGTGTGACATTTCAAGTGTGCTTCTATCGATCGCAATGACATCACCCCATAGCATGCCAATATTCTTGAAATTGATAGAGTTCCAGAGATTGAGGGGTACTCCGTAACAGCTAATCCATACCTCCCTTTCATGCTCAATGACTGTGTCCTTGGTCCAATGTGTGATGAACTCACACCATTCATGGGTCCAAAGTTCCAGCTCCTTTCTTGCACTATTCATTGCCTCTTCTGAGTTGAAAGAGAGAATCACCGATTTGCCTCCAATCTCTCTAACGTGGACATCAGATCCATACCTGCTTGACACTTCTATTTTGAAATCAGATACAAGGTAGAAAGGCTTGAGTTTGGCAACTAGGCTCTCATGTAGCCACCTATTTCCATATTCCTCTGCTTTAACCACTATCCTTTCGTCCTTCGCAGTCCTTGTACCAGTCACCACATCGGCATAACTTTGTACAGTATTCCGTATACTGGGCATACTGACGTGATTTCTATGGGTTGTATTACCTACGCCTCTCTGCAGCACCCGCTGCTTCCCATTTTTGCTTTGGGCTTTGCTGAACTCCGCCATCTTTACCTTGATCTCGCGATTGTCACACCAAGTGCCATGCGCCTTTTGAATAGCCACTCTCGCCGCGACTGGACAATTATATCTGACAAAACCAAAGCGTGAGCTTGTTGCCTTTCTCCTCTTGATCGGGATGTAAACATCCATCACTACTCCAAACTTAGAGAACAGTGAAAACAGCCCCTTAGGATCTAAAGTTTCCGGTAGATTATCCACAAAAACGGTGTGAATATCTTGAGATCTCCTGGTTATCCTTGCTTTCCTGCGAAATACTGGAATCCATCCATCTCCTTTTTCCTCCATCTCCTCTGCTTTACAAGGCAAGGATCATTAAGGTGCGTTCTTGACTTTGTTTTTTTGATGGAGGCCACTTATGTTATTCTTAACCTTTGTGCAAATTAGTCTTTATATATTTTTAATTATTATAAAAAAATAAAATTAAAGATGCTGCTATATCCCATTATTATTGGACTTTCATTAGACAGTTATTAGAGGCTCGTCTGAATATTCAATATCACTGAAAAGTCACCGGAGTATTATGAACATCATTGAAAGTCGCCGAAATATCCAAAATGTCGCTGAACGTTGAGAATATGACCAAATACTCACCGAAATGTGTCCTGAATATTGTCAAAAAAATAGAGTAATTATAGCAAAAAAAATGACAAAATGTGTTAAATATTAATAAACTGAAAGAAAAAAACGTAACAACAAGAAACAACAACAATAAAAAAAAACATAAGTTATTATTTTTTAATTTTTATAGAGTTTAAGCAAATAATCTCATATATTGATCAAACTGAAAAACATGCTTTGAAATTGTAAAATTGTTACAGTTTCAAAACATAATTCTATTAAGTATTTCTCCTTATTAATTAAACTGAAAAACATGTAATGAAATTACAAAATTTTAAAGTAAAAACATGTTATAAAACTGCAAAATTTTATAATTTAAAACATGTTATGAAACTATTCAAATTTTATAATTTTAAAATATAATTCATTCAAGCACCAAAAAAAATTGAAATTGAAAAATTTTACAATTTTTATCGTTTGTAACTAAAACTCGAAAAAAAAAATGTTCAGAATTTGAAATTTTTCTTTATTAAAACAGGAAAAGAGAATTGTGTAACAGGGAAAAAGTAAAAAAATTGAAAGATTAAAAGAGAGACAGATATAGAAAGAGGATTATACTCTAACAACTATTTTTGGTTTAAATTTGACAAGACCTTATGTAGATCTACTCATCTTGTTTGTTGGAAACTCATTTTCAATTTTCAAAAACTCATCTATTCATCTCTTTTGCTGAAAACTTAAATCTGAGTAGATCGAAGCAAGGAGCCAGTGGTTGGTAGTTGCCGGTGAAACTCCAGTTATAAAAAAGAGAAAGACAAAAAGGAAGTCGTTGAGGCCAGACTCTATGGGATAAATAACATTTTCAAATCCTAAAAAATTAAGATTGTGCCGAGCAAGCCAACGGGTCGATGCCCGCTCCTAATCCAAACTATTTATTTCTTAATACTTATTGAGTAGAATATTTATAAGACTATTAGATATCCGTATCTATATACGAGACAACCCAATTGGTCGAGACAATATATTTAAAACATATTTATATATGTATTAAAAAAAAAGTAATTATTTTTAAAATTATAATCATCATCTATTTTTTTTAAGAAATAAACATGATTCAAACATAAATCTATTAACATCTAATTATTTTAATCCCAATTACCGAATTTGATCCCAAGATGTGTCAACCAAAACCAAGTGCAATCTCATTCTCAAAATACAGAATAAATACTCCAGCACGGCCGCCTTGCCGACACAACTACGCGCCATCAACCTCATTGCAACGTGTAACAACCTCCCTTCCCCGTTGTATCCTCTCAAAAACACTCAAACCAATCAAAACCCCCCAAAGACCAAAAAACATAAACTATAAATACAAACCCCCCCAAACCTTCTTCTTCATCATCATCCTCTCAGATATCTTGTGAAAGCTTCACTAGTGTTTAGAGCGAGAAACAAAAACAAAAGCAAAAACCAAAAAAGATTTAGAGAGAGAGAGAGAGAGAGCTTGTATTGATGAGTATGGCATCGAGACAAGACAAAGTGGACAGAGCAGAAGAAGCTGCAAGGGTAGCAGTGTCCGAGCTCAGCGATGCAAACACAGAAAAAAGAACTGAAGAAGAAGAAGCAGCTAAAATAGAGGAGTATGAGCGAGAGGAACATAGACCTAGTGTTGTGGAGAGCTTACTGAAGTCAGTGGCGGGCACTTTAGAACAAGCCAAGGAGGCTGTAACCGGCAAGACCCAAGAAACTGCTGCTAACGAGAAGAGAGAAGGCGTTGAGGCGGCTTCGGAGAAGGCGAGACAGACCGAGAAGAAAAGCCGGTGGGGTACCGATTCCATGGCTGAGAAAGCGAAAGAGGCTAAAGATAGGACTGCGGAGAGGGCAGGGGAATATAAAGAATACGCGGAGGAGACGAAGAATTATAGCGGTGAGAAGGCGAGGGAGTATAAAGATGGTGCCGTAGAGAAGACGGAGGAGACGAAGGAATGTGCGGCGGAGAAAGCGACAGAAGGGAAGGAGACTGCGGTGGCGAAGATGGCGGAGTTGAAAGATACGGCGGTGGATACGGCGAGGAGGGCGATGGGTTACTTGACTGGTAAGAAAGAAGAAACCAAGGAGAAGGCGGCCGAGACCGGTGAGGCTGCCAAGGTGAGTCATCTCTGATTTCTGCTCTCAGATTAACAGGAAATAAAATTGAAGTTTATGTTTGTTTTAAGAAGTTTATGTTTGTTTTAAATGTTCTAAGCTCTGTATCTAGTAAAGTTTTGTATCATATTGAAACAAAAGAGAGTTTTAACTATAAAGTTTTTAGAGTTTGTAATTTTTAGATATTTATTAGAGTTTGTAAAGCTTTCGAGATATGAGAACATATAAAGGTATCGTATCAAGAAATAGATGCCTGGAATCGCCCGATAGACTGCGAAGAAATTGGTTCACACCACGGTGTATCTGGCCCAGGACCTCGAAAAGCCTTCGTAACGGCCAGTATTTCGATATTTAGAACTATGAAACCTTAGACTTGAAGTATACTTCAGTAGACTTACCTTTTTTTTTTCTTCTGAACGAAGTAGATACTTACTTTGACGTACAATATAGGAATTAGCTCCTCTCCGACTAGAGGATACTGTTTGTTGTTTGGTTGTTGTGGGCTTTGATCCAAGCCCATCTCGATAATCCATATTCAATTTATAGAGCTCGTCGAGTATATCTTCTCTATAAAATATTATGTTGATCGGATATCGATAGATATTTTGTTAGATTACATTTCTGTCAATGCCATGCATAATTTTCAATTTCTGTCAATGACATGCATAAATTTCAAAATAAATTGAGATAGAAACATGATCCGATACGATCAAGTGACTATCGATATCCGATTACTATGATGAAATTAATGCATTTGACGGACTCTACACATGATACGGCGTGGATTATTAAGATGGGCCTAGATTAAGACCCAAAATAACCTAACAGTACCCTCCAGTTCAATAACGAACTGGAGAAGAGCCAACTCCTACAATATATACAGTAAAGATTTTTTTTTTATTTTTGCTTATTTAAATTGTGTACACATTATGTGTATTAATTGTTTGTTTAAATAAAATTTGGAGCAAAATGTGTTGAGCTTAATAAATTGAAATTAAATTGACACAATTATATATGAAGATTAACAAAGAGTGTATTTAATCCTATATATTATGGAAAACGATATTTAAAATGGATTTTTTTACTTAATTTTGTACCCAAAGATATTGTTAAAAAATGTAGTTATGAACCTGTGCTCCATTACCTTTGTTTCTAGGGTTAAGTAATATTAAAAATGTATAATATAGTGTTGATTTAAATTAAGTGCAAGGTCGATTATAGTTGCATACATTTTAAGTTTTTGGAATTGGGATTCCATCAGTGTGATGACCTGGCCAGTTGTTAGTGGGATTCTATTGATTTGTTGTGGCTAGCTGTAGGGAAATGAAATAGTTATGTTGTTTTGTTATTTAATTATAACTATTTTTTTTAGTTAGAATATTATTTTAGTTATGATTTTATATGTTGAGTTTAATTATGATTCAAAAAATATGAAATTATGTTATTTTCATTTTAGTTATACATATGTGCACACCTTTTAGTTTCCTTTTTTTTAAATATTGTTTAACCAAGATTTTCAAATGATTGTTGAGTTCCAAGCACATAAATTGAAATGAGAAAAATATTAAACTTTCTAACATTTGGTCATTACCGTTGAAATGGTAGTTAAATACTGTCTTATATAGGAAAAATATAATGAGACACAGGACAAAGCGAGACCGAAGATGGAGGAGATGAAGCTGAGTGAGGAGTCTCATGAAGAGAACAGGTGAGGTTTAGTAATAGCCTCTCCCTCACACACACGCAGTATATACATTCCAAATACACACACACACACATATAGTCTATAGATGTGTATAATACTAACCAATTGTGTTATGTTCCTTGTGGGATTGAGTAGGGGGACGGCAGGATCAGGAAACATATTCAGCGCCCTCGGTAGCGTGAAGGATGCTATCAAGGAGAAGTTGACCGTGCCGATAGATACCGTGGAGGAGAAACGTGTAGAGAGTGAGCAGGGTGGTGGTGGTGGTGGTGGTGGAAGGGGAGGAGAAGAGGCGGAGAAGGTGGTGATGGTGGATATGAAAGAGACTCCAGCCGGAGAAGCAGCATCAAAACTCAAAGCCACTGATCAGACGAGCGGTCAGACTCTCGACGACAAGGAGGGCAAGGGCATTGCTGTCGTGCGTCTGGAACGCAAGAAGTGATCTCTTGCAACAACCTTGTGCAATTCAATGCAATGCTCTTATGTTTCTCTTGGTTTTTGGCAGTTAAAAGCTAGCTAGCTTGCTTTTTGTTTATGCATATGACTTGGACTTCTGTATGTTTTGTGTTTTTTGGGGGTTAAGGCTTGAGCGTTATATATATATAAAAGATTGTGTATGTTTTGTTTGAACACAAGAAGCATCCTCAATGGACCCCTTTGTGGAGCTTGTCTTCAAAAGTTGCCCAAAAAAATAAAAGCTGTGTCTAGGAATGCAGTGAAAACCAAACCAACTTTATTAATTAGGATGTATGTACAAAATGGATTGGTACTACTGGGCATAATCTGTATTATTGTGTTTTGGTAGTATCTAGATCAGATCACATTCTACAGCAAACAGTTTAAAATCTATTCCACTTAATTTTGTACCCAAAGATATTGTTAAAAAATGTAGTTATGAACCTGTGCTCCATTACCTTTGTTTCTAGGGTTAAGTAATATTAAAAATGTATAATATAGTGTTGATTTAAATTAAGTGCAAGGTTGATTATAGTTGCATAGATTTTAAGTTTTTGGAATTGGGATTCCATCAGTGTGATGACCTGGCCAGTTGTTAGTGGGATTCTATTGATTTGTTGTGGCTAGCTGTACCCGAAATAGTTATGTTGTTTTGTTATTTAATTATAACTATTTTTTTTAGTTAGAATATTATTTTAGTTATGATTTTATATGTTGGGTTTAATTATGACTCAAAAAATATGAAATTATGTTATTTCTATTTTAATTATACATATGTGCACACCTTTTAGTTTCCTTTTTTTTAAATATTGTTTAACCAAGATTTTCAAATGATTGTTGAGTTCCAAGCATATAAATTGAAATGAGAAAAATATTAAACTTTCTAACATTTGGTCATTACCGTTGAAATGGTAGTTAAATACTGTCTTATATAGGAAAAATATAATGAGACACAGGACAAACCGAGACCGAAGATGGAGGAGATGAAGCTGAGTGAGGAGTCTCATGAAGAGAACAGGTGAGGTTTAGTAATAGCCTCTCCCTCACACACACACAGTATATACATTCCAAATATACACACACACACACACACACATATATATATAGTCTATAGATGTGTATAATACTAACCAATTGTGTTATGTTCCTTGTGGGATTGAGTAGGGGGACTGCAGGGTCGGGAAACATATTCAGCGCCCTCGGTAGCGTGAAGGATGCTATCAAGGAGAAGTTGACCGTGCCGATAGATACCGTGGAGGAGAAACGTGTAGAGAGTGAGCAGGGTGGTGGTGGTGGTGGTGGAAGGGGAGGAGAAGAGGCGGAGAAGGTGGTGATGGTGGATATGAAAGAGACTCCAGCCGGAGAAGCAGCATCAAAACTCAAAGCCACTGATCAGATGAGCAGTCAGACTTTCGACGACGAGGGCAAGGGCATCGCTGTCGTGCGTCTGGAACGCAAGAAGTGATCTCTTGCAACAACCTTGTGCAATGCAATGCAATGCTCTTATGTTTCTCTTGGTTTTTGGCAGTTAAAAGCTAGCTAGCTTGCTTTTTGTTTATGCATATGACTTGGACTTTTGTATGTTTTGTGTTTTTTGGGGGTTAAGGCTTGAGCGTTATATATATATATATTTATATATATATAAGATTGTGTATGTTTTGTTTGAACACAAGAAGCATCCTCAATGGACCCCTTTGTGGAGCTTGTCTTCAAAAGTTGGCCAAAAAAATAAAAGCTGTGTCTAGGAATGCAGTGAAAACCAAACCAACTTTATTAATTAGGATGTAGGTACAAAATGGATTGGTACTACTGGGCATGATCTGCATTATTGTGTTTTGGTAGTATCTAGATCAGATTACATTCTACTGCAAACAGTTTAAAATCTATTCCCCTCTCACTAGAAGCGTCTGCAATCTCTCTTTCTTGGGCTTTCATGATCATATTCAGAGATAATTGTTACACATTGATCACGTTCAGCCCTTCTTACCTTCGCATCAAGCAAAAAATCAGCCGTCTTAGAATGCACTTTTCCCTTCCCTGTTTATTTTTCATTCTTTCTACCAAATATAATATGGCCGAAACAATAGATAGTTTGGATCCACATTTTGATTGACCTCAACAATTGAATACTAATTAATTCTTTAATGTTATGTTTGGTTGAGGGATTTAGAAAGAGAAAGAGAAAATATATGTAAAATTAAATGAAATATAGGTATATTTTATTTTCATTTTATTTATTATTATTTTTTTCTTTTTAAATCTTCTAACTAAACATAGCGTGAGAGAAGTATTTAAGTCTATAGCTATCCTAAAACACCAAGAAATACTAACAATTCTTAAGAGAAGTATTCAAGCCTGGAGCTACCCAAGATACCAAGCAGGGTTAGGCATCATATCGAGAGAGAATTTAAGAACTTAAGGAGTTCATGGAGTTTATCATATATTTCGTTTCAATGATTTGAACCGTTGACGAGGAGGATTCATTGAATAAAATATTTATGTAAAAAATAAGATGATCGAACGTCAGTAGTTATATGTTTAAATTAAATTTATAATTACAAAAAGTAAATAATTATTCTTAAAAGTATATTTGTCATCTATTTTTTAAAACAAATATAATTAAAAAAAATATAATTACCGATATTCAATCATCTTATTTTTTACATGAATAAGTTACTAAACGAGTCTAAAAAAGTGAATAATTCGGATCACTGAAATCGATTTTACAATGGACCTATCAAGCCCAAATACTCTCTCAAGTTGAGATGACAACTTCAGAGAAAGCAAAGACAATCAACAATAGAGGTGTGCGTGATGCAGTTCAATGTGACAAATCATGAATGACAAATTGGTAAATAATCAAATTGCAATTTGAACAATTTCAATTTGATAATTGATTGAAAGATAATCTTAAACAATTATTAATTATTTGTATAATATATAACACTAATTTACATAATATTTTTTATATATATAATAATAATTTATAATAAATAAATTTTATATTTTAAATCTCTCGCATATTGATTTTTACTTTAATATTTCATTAGAGATTAAAAAACATATATATATATATATATGTATTCACTATAATAGAGCGAGACAATTTAAAAAAAAAAAATTATAAATTTTACCCTGCAGATCAAACTAACCCTCAATTAGAAAGCGAATGAATGCGAATTGAATAATATTTTACACGCTAATCAACAGGACATCCAATTAGGAATGACTGTCGATTCCAAGACGTTCTAATCATCCTACCGGAACACGTCAATTTACAGAACTAGAAAACAAATCCTCTCTCTCTCTCTCTCGCTCTCTCTCTCTCACACACACGTTCTAATCATCCTACCGGAACACGTCAATTTACAGAACTAGAAAACAAATCCTCTCTCTCTCTCTCTCTCTCACACACACACACACACACCACAACAACAACAAAAATAAATAAAAATAAATAAAAATAAAAATAAAAATAAAAAAAGGCCAGTGAATAGGGAAATATAAACAATGTATTTGAGGTTTAGCTTGGTTCTTTGTAAACAATATTATGGGTAAACAAGCTCAAATGTGATGACAATGGACCTGAGAATAACTAAACGAAAAATAAATAAAAATTACTGCGCAAAATTCAAGTGAAAAAGGGGATTCCAAGAGATAACAAAACATGGAAATTATATGACATATAGGATCGGCAAAATCTCACATACACCCAACACCAGTAGAACCATTAAAATATGTTCAAAGTAACAAAAATATTCCTTAATATGTCGAACAAGTTTCAACATCAAATGAATCTCCTTACAAAGTCACCAAACCTGAGAATTTTCATGAAGACCAGATCTGAGCTATTGCATACAGAGGGTAAGTATGCACCGTACAAAGATTGCGCGAGAAAGGAGAATCTATTCTTCTTAATCTGGTATCTGACCGCTTTAAGCTATTGCTTTGTCGATCTCACCGTATTATAACAAGCCCATCCACAAACAAAATGTCAGTACAAACCAATTGGGGAACAAATCATGCCTTGGAAGAATCAAACCGCTGTTGAAGAAAAATTATGTGAACAGAACATAGGCCATCTTTACCTAGATGAACTGCCTACGATTGTCTTTGACGGTTTACTACTGGACTGAGGGTCTATGAACTGTTTAGAGTCTGCATTGATGGTAACATTCCCCATTCCAACCTCCATGGCTTCTCTCTCCTCCTTATCTCTCTTCTTTGTCTCGGAATTTACAGTATCAGCTGCTTGGGATTGAATGGAAGGTTCTAGAAGACGAGGACCTGAACTAATCCATGGATGAAGTAGGCATTGTCCTGCAGTTGGCCGCTTCTCTGGGACAAAATCAAGTATGGGAATCAGGAAGTCAGCCAAGTCAGATGCATCTTGCTCACTGAATTCATATTTCTCCATCAGAACCTTATTCAAGGGCCAGAAACGCAACCGTCGGATGTGCCTTAGATCACCATATCTGTTAAATAAGTCCCGGGAATAACGACCACCCAAGGCAATCTGCATATAGTTGTCAACGTATCAAAAGTCAGATGCGAAGGGCCTAGTGAACCCAACTAATTTCTTTACTAATTTCTTTTGACAGTAATGGAGATGATGTTCTTACCTTTCGTGGCATCATCCCAAGAAGCTCCATCATCAATGCTAAGTGGTCCTGTGAACAGAAATAAGATTTGGTCGATATTGGTCAACAACTGAACCTCAAGAGAAGCTTGCTATAGACTAGAATACACACATGTAGCCTTCACAAAACTGATTTTTTTTTTTGGGGGGGATCACATCATTTGAGATTAAGACACATTTGAAAATTACTATCATTCACTTAAACAAACAATAAACCTCTTATGACGCCTAACAGTCAAACCACGAAACATAAAAGCTGAACTTCAAGTACCAGAAATTCACTATCCACTTTTCAGCACCTCATTATATATAATCAACAAGCAAATATATGCCTTCTCTAGATATTTGACCAATATGAATTGCATTTAAATATTTGGCTATCCAACAATAGATTGATCACACGCAAAGGGATGGAGTGCAATTCAATTGCCAAATCCAATAGGTGGAATGTACAGAGCATGCTAAGTTTAATCAAGATTCCCACAAGTTCAACACAGGATCAAACATTCATTTTACCAATCAAAACAAGGTACCACGCCCAGCAAAAGGAATTACTAATATATCACCCAAACAATTCCAGCTAAGCCAGTCAACCATATTCTGATCCTACCATCACATTTCTAGTGCAAATGAGATGCCAAATTTTTACAAAATCTGTGTCCTGAATCTACTACAGAAAATACAATCACAAAATAGTACAAGAATATGGAGAAAAGTTTTCAACTAAAATAACTGAGTTTCATCTGATTAGCATTAAATGATCTTCATATGTAATTTGCACCAATAATAGTAAAAGACACATGGGCTATTAACAAAGACAAGTATTTGAAAAGGGTATGATCAGATTAACAAAGACAATTTTGTAGGATAACTTGATATATATTTGTTGGGCGCATTTCCTAACACCTTAAGCTTTTGGAACACTTGGTGATCTAAGAGCAACTCCAATTGTGTGTCATCCTCCATGCCAGAGCCAAAGTAAGAGACAAAATAAGGCAACAATTCGTCCAAATTCATAATCTTCTATGCAAAATTATAGCTATGTCAAAAATACTAACATTTATATTTGACATAGCTATAATTTGACTTTATGAGAAGAAAATAGAATTGGAATTTGCACTGTTGGAGCAACATTGCCAGATTATTATGGCATTGTAGCATGCCAAAATCTGGCTTTGGCATTACCAATTTGGTACTAACCATTGGAGATGCCCTAATCTGGTATCATAGCTTAAGGTTGAGGGAGGTCTTGGATTGAGTCTCTTTGATTGTTTTTGTTCCCTGTTTACTTTATGCTTCTCTACTCTTTTATTTGTTCACCATTTTCATTCTACATCTCTCTATGCATGTCTCTTTGCATCTCTACGTGCAAGACAAAATTGCACTTGAGGGAAGGCCTTGAATAGTTTGATATACATTGTTAAGACTCATTTCCTAGCGGCTAAAACTTTTGAGACTATTGGTAATCTAACAAATTTAACTTGAAATAAATGTACAAAGACAAAAATTAAAAATTAAAAAGGCAAAAACAAATATTATACAGATATAGATATATATACAAAAGGGAATGCAGTAAGCGACAAGAAAAAGAAAGTAAAACAATACAAAACATGTGGACTAATCAAATCATATCCTCTTTCAATTTTATTTTCTCTACTTCAGTTTTTTTATTCGTATCATCAATTTATTAGCTATCAAATTATAATATGTATTATCATAGATTTATTTTTTTTGAAAAGTATATCTATTTAATTTAGGGTAAAATCCATTTTACTTTCTTGTGGTATGACCCCGGAGTAAATACCCCCCACATCACTTTGGCCATTTTGCATTTTGCCTTCCTACTATTAATAATTTCATCCAAATTGACTAAGATTCCACAGGCACCTAGATTGAGAGTTGACTTGGGAAAAAAAATTGTCAAAGTAAAAAAAACTATGTAAAATGATATATATATATATGTGCGCCTTCATCTTTTCACCCAAAAACTCTAACCTTAACCCTAGCCATCTTCTTTCCCAAAAACTTAACCTCTTATCTTATCATCATCTTCTACCACTAACCATGTGAAAACCAAAACCCTAACCCATTCATGCCCTCCAACCACCTCCCCCACCACCCCACCACTCCCAACCACCACCCACCATATCCCCCCCCACCAACCCACAATTCCCCTTCCCCCTTGGCACCCTACCATCCTGTCATTCAAGTTATGCCACCTCCATTATAGTGACATCAAAAAAAAAAAAAAAAACAAATCAAACCATTAAGATTAAATCCTCCAATTGAGTCCTCTTGCATATGCAATCAAGCTCATTCATTAAAAATCTTGATCATCCATTACAATGACAAATCAAAAAAATTCATGTGGTTTAGGAATGCAACCTAGGAAGCACAGATACATATATAATACAAATATGGCAATACGAGAAAACTTAAAAAAATAAAAATAAAAATAAAAAATATAGGATACAGGAACAACTAGGAGACGTTTGTAAAAAAAATATTTTAAAAAAAATTATTAGTAGTGAGTCACACATAAACTCAAGAATGTTGAAAAAGCATACTTTCATTTTATAATGCAAAATACTAACCTTTAAAAATGAAGTATTAATTTAAGCCAGTAGTTTGTTTACTTCTTAAATTTTCAATAGGTCTTGCAAAAATTTCATTTCAACATCAAGTCTAATATGTTTATATTATAATAATAGAACAATCCACAACTTACCCCTGTGTTTTTTCTTTTGGCACTAGTAAAAAATGTTTTATTCAAGTTTACTTGATTATTTATTTATTAATATCTAATTTTACTATTGTTATAATCTCTTTATTAATCCTTGCTTTCTATGTAACATGTATTTATACTTCAAAATTATTTGATACTCCAAAATTAATGAAAAATTAATTAAGAAGTATCCAATACTTTTAATAAGTATTTGATATGTATGCGCAAGTATCCAAGGAATATCAATATCAGATACAGATACGATACGATATGGATACGTCTCCCATTTTGAAGTATCATGCCTCATAAGGAATAACCTATCGGTACTTTGAACCAACTTATGTCCATTTGGGTTGGATTCTTGGGAGAATTAAGAAAAATTACAATTGAAAGAGGGATTACAAAAGAGAGAGTGTGTCAAATGCGATCGCCAAAACTAAGTCTAGATTGAGTCCTAACAATTTTGTTAGTTTCCTTAATTCCAAGGTAACTCCAATCGAGATGGGTGCTTGTAATGCTATTTGTGAGCACCATGTCATTGAGGCAGCTGCATGCATGTATGTACTTTGTCACCTGCTTAATGCCAATGATTTCATGCAAGACATGTCAATAGATGGTTGTATGTAAAGCCATGTGTCACTTGTCAAGTCACTAGCCTGTTATTGAGTTGTTGTATGTTTGCCACTTGTTGTGTTTTTGTTATTTTGTATTTTTTTCTATTTCAAAATACTTCATTAGGATGTAAGGCATAACCTCCTTAGCTACTCATATATAGTCCTAAAATCTGATTTCTGCATAGTTCAGCCTAGATCCAAGTGTTATTCAAGTCTACCTTCAACTATAGTTGTTGAACCTCGAACCAAACCAGATCAAGGTTACTTCATAGTGCAGCACCCAGAAATAAAACAAACTACAAATAACAAGCAAGCGGCAAATGTGTAGCTACTTACCAAGAAGCTAGCGACACATGGTCTAGATGCAAGCATTCATTGGCAAGCAACACATGACTTTACATGCAACCACCTATTGACGTGTTACAACCTGCTTACGAGAGTTGCATCAATGACAAGCTATTCACAGGTAGTTTACAAGCACCCATGAAGAACTATTTTTTTGGGGTTTCAATAACCTAGAACCCATGGCTCACATGTGGGGAAAGAAATACCATGTACTTTTATTTACCCACTGTCAGCAAGAGTAGATGTAATAGGATTAGTACCTTTAAGCCTAATGATGGGGACTAAGTGGGATGACCAAAACACCCTTAGAGAACATGTCCAAAACTACTACACTAATTTATGTAGGGATTCCCAACTTCCACTCCCATGATCAGGATGTACTTGGCTCCCTAACTCCTCTCTTCTGATCGGTGAGGAGGAAGATATCCTCAGCAGGCCCATCTCTCTTAATGAAACAACCTCAGCTGTTATGTCCATGAATCGTTATACTGCTCCTACAACGGATGGATTCCAAGCCTTCTTTCTGAAATACTAGAAAAATATTGGTCTAAGAATCCACAAAATGATACCCAAAACTTTTGAAACAGGTAGTCACTACAAGAAAGGATCATCTCAATTTCAAAATACTCCTAAGGATACTGCGATGGAAATCCAAAACATTTGCAGGGTCCCCTTGGACAATAACCTAGGGAAATAGTTCAGAGTAACTCCTGTTCATTCTAGAGTGACCAAAACTACCCATAACTACAACCTTGACAAAGTAAAGCAAAGAATTGCAGACGGAAAGCTAAATGCCAGTCCCATGCAGGTAGAGCTACCCTCCTCCAGTCCGTAACTTCAGCACTTCCCACTTATTCTGTGCAGAAATGTTGGCTCCCTACTCATATAAGCAACATCTTGGAAAAATAGAATGAGGTTGTTAAGAGTCTTAAGACCAAGAAGAAACGGACACTGGGAATTAGGTCTGCTAGGCAGGCCAACACTTCCTTGCTAAAGCTAGCTGGAAAATCCTAAGTAGGGACCAAAGACTTTGGGCTCAAATCTATAAAGCTACATATTGTAGCAACACCAAAGACATTTTGGATCGCAATCCCAATTCTAGATCCTCTCCTACTATGAAGCACGGATACTCCAAAAAAATGTGCCATACGAGTATCTGATAGATACGTATCAGATAAGGATACGTGTCCGATATGACAGGATACGTATCGGATATGGCGAATAAGTATCCGATTCTTTTTTTAATTTTTTTAATTTCAAATAGAGGAGGGATATGCAAAGGATACATGAGGAATACGACAGGATACGCCAAATAAGTATCTATTTTTTTTTATTATTTTATTTTAATACTCCAAATAAGTATATAATTTTTTTTCTAATTTTTTTATTATTTCATATTTATATTTTTTCAGTGGTCAATTCTTCTTCTTTTTTTTTTTCTTTTTTTTTTTTTTCTTTTTTTCTTTTTCTCCCCCCTCATCTATTAGGCTACTTTATTTAATTTTTTTTTTCACTTTTTTTCGTTTTGTTTCCCGACATTGTTTTAACGTAAACATTTCTTTATCAAATTTTTAATTTTAGGAACTTCAACGTTAGTATTTATTTATTAAATAGGAATGCCTCTCTTTATTTATTAATTTGCTTTAGGTTTTATTTTCATACATATTACATTATTAAAAATAAAAAAAAAATTACGAATGTATCCCCGCTGTACCCGTATGCAACTTTGTCAGATTTTGGCGTTTCGCCATATCCCGTATCCGTATCCGTGCTTCCTAACTCTCCTACTTGGAAAGGCATTGTTATAAATGTCAAAGAGATTGAAGAAAGTTGTCTGAAAATTTGGTTTGAAAATTGGATGAGACAGGCCCCCCTGTATGACCTCATTAACTCTGAAATTCTCCACATGGAACTTTTGCTCACTGTAGGTCACATAATTAGTGAAAATAAGAAGTGCGGTCTATCTCACATCTTTAATCCCATTCCCAGTAACTCATTGATCTCATCCATGGATTCTGATAGCGAAGTTTCACAATGCCATTAATAGAAGAATCTAGAACCTCTCAGCTAATAAGAAGGACAAAGGTAAGTCTGGTTGCAATTTTCTCCACTCTGAGCCAATTCATCATAGCTCTAACCAAAACTGATTATTGATTTGGAAATTAAGGTGTTGTTCATAAAATTGAAAACTAAAATCTAAACATTAAGTACTAAAAACTGAATGTTAAATTTTTTAATCTAAAAAGTTGTTTAGTATGTATAAAATTCAACTCCTGAACTTAATCAAGTTTTTTGGTATGTACCAAAAGATGATCTCTATGAAGCACGGACACCTCTCCGAAGGTCGCATACAATTGTTTGACACATGTCGCACACAAACACACGCTGAATAAAATGGAAAGAGTTGGACATGTTGAGACACTTTGGACACGATGCGGATACGTTGGGACACGCTGGGGACCATTTTTTTTTTTTAAAACAAAAAATTATAATTTTTAATTTTTAATTTTTTTACTAAAATAGCATACCTAAGGTTAATAAATTTGGTAAAATTAAATATTTGACATAAAATACATATTAAATATTTAAAAATATACATATAATAAAAATATAAAAATATGTCTTGAACGTGTCCTTAATGTGTCATATCTTGCATTTTTTGAAAATTTACATGTCTGCGTGTCCGTGCCGTGCCGCGTGTCCGTGCCGTGCCACCTGTCCGTGCCAGTGCTTCTTAAGATAATCTTGAAATTTGTTAGTCTTCTAATTTGTTTTCACTTTTTATATTGTGGTGTTGCTGGTTTGGTAGCAACATGGTGGTGGTGGCAGTGTGGTGGTGGTTGTGTTATGGTGGGTAAGAGGTGGCAAAGATGAAAGTGAGGGTGGTGGTTGAGGGGGTTCTACATAAGTTCAGGGGTTTTCTAAGGTTTTCTCATAAGTAAATAAATAAATTTCCTTTTGGTGCAACAAGCTTCACCGACACTAAAGATTGAGCAACTCGAGGGAAAGTAAAACCAGAGGTCTAATTACTTTGGGATCAAGTTTACTAGGAAATCTATACATAATTCTTCGAAAATCAGAATTTTTTTAAAAATAAATTGAAAAGAACCAAGGGTACGAAACCACATAAACACGAGATACACAAAACACGCAAAAAACACAAACAAGGGTTTTGTGGCCAAACTATACAATATGCTCAACGAAACTTGTACTCCCTCCGTCCCATTTTATTGGTCCACCTTTCCATTTTAGTGAATCCCAAAATGTTTGTCCACTTTCTGTTTTGGGATCCTAATTTTTGTTAGATTTCCAAAATTGTCCCTTATAAATCATTATAAACACATTTTAAAATTTAAATAGAAGGCAATGGAAGGGAAAATATTTCAAAATTTGAATTAAAATGTAATGATTGCATGTCTCTTTATTAAGTTGGATTTTCTACAATGGACAAATAAATTGGAACGGAGGGAGTATCAACTTTTCAACAGATTTCTCCATCCCAAAGGACCTACGATTCCTCTTTTTCCTAATTTACCAATTAGGCAACAAGAACAAGCTTTTGACACAAATCAACTTCTCTTCCCCATGTAGCCATCCCTCCGACCATGAAACAGATTAACTATTTCTTTCATGAACTCAAGAACAAAAATAATGAACAATAAGACCGGTACCCAAGCACCAGCCTTCAGCAAATAAGAAGATGATCCACATCTCCTCACTACTTTGGACATGCACTATAAGCACCAGACCAGACAAGAAGCATTATTAGCCCTTTGATTATATTCTAAAAGATTTATTAACAAGTGACCTATGGGCACTTGTTAAGAAGCTTGAAATGGTTGTACATTCTTTATAAAAGTGTGCCATGTAGCCATCCCTGCGACCATGAAACAGATCAACTATTTGTTTCATGAACTCAAGCACAAAATAATGAACAACAATACTGGTACTCAAGCACCAGCCTTCAGCATATAAGAAGATGATCCACCATCTCCTCACTACTTTGGACATGTGCTATAAGCACAAGACAAAAAGCATTATTAGCCTTTTGATGATATTCTAAGAGATTTGTTAATGAGTGCCCTAAGGGCACTTGTTAAGAAGCTTGAAATGGTTGTCCATTCTTTATATAAGTGTGCCGTAATGAATGTACTATTATTTTAAGCTTTATTAATTAATGCCTTTAGGACACTCATTAACAAGACCCCATTCTAAATTACCATGATGTTCCCTTGGACGAGACTTTGGAGCACCAAATAACACCTCAGTCATATTTTTTGAAATTTCAGATTTAGTAATTTCTTCACTCCCAAATGCAAGGAATAAGCCAACCACACTATTAAAGGAGCACAGTTTTTTAACAAGAAAAGCTCCAGCCAATTATTCCATGCATAATGCACCGTGCACAATACTGTCATGGAAATGGACCATTATCTAAAAGCACACGGTGTGCTTTGCTTTAGGACCATATGGACAGCCATCAAGTATGGTGTAATGCATACATTAAGGTGCAACTCACTTGATTATCCAATACAATGTTGCCATAAACCTTGACAACCATCCTTCCTAAGCTAAATTTGTAACTTTCATGTTTTGTTGCCAATCAATGTTCACATATTCGAGAAGTATTAGCATTTGATTTTGAATCTTTGATACACAAAATACAAATATGACTCTTTTAAAAAAACATAGTCTACCTTGTCTGTTGAATAGCTAAAGGATTAGGTAAACTAGATAATCTATATATAACCCAGAAAAAATCAAAATCAAAACCAAACCAGGTTCTGGACAGGATCAGATTTAGGTCTACTACAAATAGTTAGCCTTCTTCTGCCATCTTGCAATTTTAGCTTGTGGAAGTTCACTGAATGCCAATAAAAAGTTTTTCCCACACATTGGCCCCAAATAATACATGCCTTTACACATGTAACATAAATAAACTTAATTAATCAGATTAAGACATAACTGGAACATTTATTATTAGGTTTGGGTTGGATTAGGGTGCATAAGTCAAATCACAATTTCAGCTCAGTCCACTGCCAACACAAACTGGTTGTACTTGGACCTCATATTATTGCTTCCATCCCACTACAAGAGTGTTAAAATTTAGATGATTGATACTATATAAGAAAAGATAAATTTCTGCATTATTATATGGAATGATTGCAATTTCTAAAAGTTTCTGGATAACTAAAAAGAAAGAGCATTTTGTTAGTGTTCAAATGAAGAGGAGATATATTCTATTTCATTACCGAGACTCAACGAGAGTATAGTAACAATAGGGTAAAACCACGTGCTTGGTTTTAAAACCTTCATGTAGACATACATATATGTACATATGTATATAGTAGAGAGAGAAATATAAGAGATGTTATTTAGCACACATTTGAATTTGGTTCAAGCTTGCTGCAATGTTAAATAAATCACTAGGCTCCCTCACTCACTCCCAACTTCAACTTTGACTTAAACATGGTTTTTCCTCATAATACTTGTATATTTGAATTGAATGACACATTTTAAAGGGGGAAAACAACAACAACAAATAATATTAAGGAAAATAAACAAAAAATAATATAGGGAAGAGCAATGCATCCATACCTCATCTCTGTCGAAGTTGTCACCACTATGAGGATCAAAAAGAACATCACCTGTTGCAAGTTCAAAACAAATGCAAGCAAATGACCAAAGATCTGCTGAGGTAGAATATTTAGAACCTAGGATAACCTCTGGACACCTATACTGCCTTGTTTGAATGTCATTTGTAAATTGCTTGTAGGTCCAACAAGCATTCCCAAAGTCAACCAATTTGCATGTCAGGTCAGCCGATTCCAACAGCTTCTGCCTTGTGGATCGGCTCCCTCTTTTATGGCCCTGACTTCCTTGCGCACTGTTAGTTCCATCAGCTATGGACAAAATATTTGTACTGACAGAACCATCACGCTGGTCTTCCACAGAACCCACATTTGAGTTAGAATTTTTAGAAGCCTCCCCAGCACCAGATGTTTCAGGTTCTGTCTCAGTTTCTGCAGAAGCTTCCTTGTCTGCACAACCCTGAGCAGCTCGCTTAGCCTTTCTTTTAATCTTTTTCTTTTGGCTTTTAGTCAAATCCCCATTGCATGTCTTGACATCTTTTGCAATACCAGACTCAAACATAGTCTTATTCTTGCTGTTAGGAAGAATTAAAGGAACACCAGATTTTCTAGGATCCTTAGATGGGTCAATCATGGACAACAATAAAATATTCTCTGGTTTCAAATCAGTGTGTATAATCGAGAGCTGTCTGTGCAAGTAATCCAAACCCACCAAAATATGAGAGCATATTTCTTTGACTCTTTGAATAGGCAATCCATGGTAATCACTATACTTGATCAGTGTCAGTAGATTATCCCCCAAATACTCGAAAACCATGCAAACATGCTGCCCATTTGGACCCGAGTGCTTAAAATGATCCAACAATTTCACTACGCATTTCTTATCATCAGGGTCACCATCTGCAATCTGTTGCAAGATGGTAATCTCATCCATTGCTGCCTCTGTGTAATGTTGCGCACTCTTTTGCATTTTAAGTGCCACATATCGCTGCAATGTTATGAATTATACACAGTAAGCTTGGAATGAATAGCACCTCACTCATGCCGCAGTTGGTCACTTGATTGCAGAGGAATTGTGGGAAAATCAAAGAAAGTAAAACTTTGAATCTCATAAGTACTTCGCTTACTTTTGGGAGTCCAAAACTAATCAATTTTAGTTTTTCTCCCAAAAGAAAGAAAAGTACTTCTGAGATGCTATACAAAGATAGCCTCACATACATGCTTCACTAACAACTCCGCTGAATAAGCTCAAAACAAGTATCAGGCTGCATTAAATTCAGTTCTCAAATTCTATTAAAATAACCGAAAATTCAAAATCTTCTTTCCTCTTCTTTTCATCCACTGTAAAATGCTGATCAAGAATACACACTTTCTAAGCAAAATAAAAATATCAAAATCTTCTTTCAATTCTGTCTTCCTCCATTTCCTCAGTAACCAAACAGAGGTAATCTAAGCACAAACAATTAAACTAATTGAATATTTAACTGCAGAAAAACAATACGTAATCAGATCAAGGTCAAGGCTTTTTAGTACATAATACTACAGAAATCACAAGATCAACAAAGAAATAGAAGATTTTAAGAGAGAGAGAGAGAGAGAGAGGTACCGAGTTGAGGGTGTCCCAAGCGAGCCAGACGGTGGAGAAGTGGCCCCAGCCGAGCTTGCTCTGGACGACGTACTGGCCGCTTTTGAAGGAATCGCCAAGTCGGACGGCGTGGTAGCCGCCGCGCCGGTAGTCCTCCGTGCCTTCGTCCTCCGACGTGTAGTCGCTGCTCTCGGTCTCATCGTCTTCCTCCTCACCACGATGATGATGATGATTCCTCTCCTCCATTTGATTTGATCACCGCAAACACGACTATTTTGTTATTGCTTCGATTCGAATGGGAAAATAAAGGTGTTTGGATTGTGAGATTTTGAAAGAAAATTTGGGGTTTTTTGGTTTCCCGGAGAGGAGTGAGAAGAGTGTCACGGTGGTTTTGCGGAGCCAAGCGATCTACCATAATCTAATGCCTTGTTTGCTTGAACAGAAAAAATTATAAAAAAATACTAAAATATGAGCTAATGTTGTTTTATTTTATTACTTTTTTAGAATGAAGCATATGCAGAGTTATTTTATTTTATTAATTTTTATAAGCTTATTCTCTAAGATATTTGTTTGGCATTATTTTTAATGAATTTTATTTTCGTTTCAATTTTTTGACTTTAGATTTTTAAAAATTATTTTTTTGTATTATTTTTAGTTAATTTTTTTAATATTTCAATAATTTTTTTGGGGATTTTTTTTTTTAAGGTCTCTCGTATTAAGATTTTATAGTATAAAGGACATCTAATATTTTCATAACATCTAAGGTCCCTCAAGTTGATCCAGAGAAAATTGATCCAGAGAAATTTCATCTAGAGAAATTCTAAACTTCCAAAGAATTTCTCTGGGTTCAACCTAGAGAAAATTCAAATTTCTCTAGATTTAGTTTGGCCAATTTTCAAACTAGAGAAAATTGATAAATTCTGGACTTCTCAAACCTAGAGAAAATTGATTTCACCAATTTTACTCAGTTAAAGGCAAAGAAAATTAAACAAATTTCTCTGAGTTTGTTTTATTAAAATTTCACTGAGTTGTCTCAGTAAATTTCACTGAGTATACCAAACAAACAAACAGTATCAATACATACATATGATTTCATAAATTTTACTCACTTAAAGGCAAGAAAAATTAAACAAATTTCTCTGAGTTTTTTTATTGAAATTTCACTAAGTTGTCTCAATAACTTTCACTGAGTGTACCAAAACAAACAAACAGTATCAATACATATATATATATATACCTATGACTTCACCAATTTTACTTAGTTAAAGGCAAAGAAAATTAAACAAATTTTTCTGAGTTTGTTTTTTTGAAGTTGTCTCAGTAAATTTCACTGAGTGTATCAAACAAACAAAAACACAAACAAACAGTATAATATATATATATATATATATGCATACATATATGACTTCACCATTCTCAGACCTGTCCAAATCAACTCTTGTTCCTCACCCCTGACTGCATTCTCTAGCTGATTGAGCTCCACCTTCACCGGATCCGACCCGTGTAGCAAATTCAAGAACTCATCCGTGTCCAAACTCGGCGGCCTCTGCGGAGCTTGCCTCCTCGAACTCTTAAACGATCCTAACACCATCAACGGCGTCGCCGCCGCCGCCGCATTGCCACCGTTCTCGCCATAAAGTAGAGAGACAAGTCAAGCCAATCACTTCCTTCACCGATCCGTTGGTCGAGTGCTGGTACAATTGAAACCCTAGGGTTTCCGAATTGTAAAAGCCTACCATACGAAGTGTCCTTTGAAGACGATGAGGAACTCACGGTCTCGGTCTCGGTCTGAGTGGAGTAGAACAAAACCCTGAAAACCCTAGAAATGCTACATTGATTACCCAGTGAATTCCATGTACACAACTTGAGAAGCTTCATCACCATGAGAGAGAGGGACACAGATTTTCTAATCCGAATGTTGTCGACCGTAATTTTTATTTTTTCTCACTTAGGTTTATGTTGGTTTAGGGACACAAATGACCTTCGATAGTTTAGGGACAAAGAGTCAAATTTCTCTTACATATGTTTAGGGATCTTAGACATCAAAAAATAATTTTGTGAATCTCTTCCATTACGAAAAGTGAGAGAGGGACCCTAGACTAATTTTTCAAATTTTTTTACTTTTTAAATACACCTAATCTAGATATATCTAAAAAATAAAATATTTGTAAAAACTATTTAAAAAAATTAATAAATACACAAGAATACAAAAATATATTAAATTTTTATAGTTTTTTATATTTTTTATACTTATTGAATTTTTTTTTAAAAAAAAAATCACAAATGTAATACTTTTTAATTGTATTTATATTAGTTGTATCTAAAAAATAAAAAATGTCCTTAAAATATTTTTAAAAATTTATTAAAAATAAAAAATACAAAAAACAAAAAATTTAATTTTCAGAAAATAGAATTTAAAGAATTAGAACTATAAGGTGATTAGTTTTTTTTTTTATAAATATTTTTGTAAGTTATTCAACTAGACGGATGTTAAAAGAAAGAGTTAGGCTAGGAATACCAAATAATTTATCAATTTTTTTATCAAATCTCTTATATGGGTGTGGAACCCACACGCACGTGGGTTTGTGTGAGTCTTACACCTATGTAAGAGGTTTGATAAAAAAAAAAATTGATAAATTATTTGGGATCCATAGCATTTTCTAAAATGAAATTAAAAAAAAAAATAGAAGCAATAAAAAAAAGGGATAAGTTATGTTGACTTCCCTTCAAATTTGAAAAAAATAAAGTAAACTCTATTTTTAAAAATTCAAAATTACATAGTGCAAAGTTTAAGAATCCGTTTGGTTTACTTTTCAAATCACAATTTGACAGTTCAAAACTCAAAAACCTATTTGGTTTTGAGTTCTCACACTTATATTCAACTCAACCATTTAAGAATTCTTTTCAAAACTCATAACTAAACAAATTTTAAAATTCATAATCAAATAAATTTAAAATTTTTAAACTCTTTTCAAAACTCATAACCAAACAAGTTTTGAAATTGGCCTTGTTTGGTTTGTGTTTTGAGATATTATTTCAAAAAAAAATTAGAGAAAGTTTAGAAAATTTAAAAATTTGTTGGATTGTATATTTTGAAAATAGTTTAGAATTTTGAAGTTTGAGATGATTTAACTTTTTTTTTTATAGTTGAATAAATAGGTAGGAGCGAAAAAATGATTGAGAGAGAGAGAGAGGAAAGAGAAAAAATTATTGAGTGATTGTAATAGAAAGAAAAATGATTTTGAAGTTTTTTTTCTAAGTATTAGCCAAATAATTTGTTATATTTTAGATATATATGGACAATCCAAAAAATATATGTAAACAGTAAACAAAATGTGAAAAAATGAAAAATAAATGTAATAAATATGAAACGTGTTAAATATATGTAGATTGAATGGATATAAATTAGAAAAATAGTTTTAAAATTTTAAAAATGTTCTTACGAACTAATATATACATATGAAACTTTGCCTTATAGATTATATTAGATTTATTTACAAAGTACATTTAGATTACGTATGTAAAAGAAGTAAACAAAATAAAAATAAAAACACATAACGACAAAAAATTAAAAAAAAAAATTGGCTATAATATTGTAAAAAGTTTTGACTACATATGTAAAAGAAGTAAACAAAATTGACTACAATATTGTAAATAAAAATTTGACTACAGGACAAAAAAAATACAAGACCCAAAAAACTCTAATTAAAAACTAATTTTGAAAATGGGGACTTACGGTTAGGTCTTAATAAGTGAATTTATTATCCAATAAGTCCTATGATAATTAATGACATTTTTCATCCAACACTAATAAAAAAATGTCACTAATGGTTAATTTTCAGCCACAATTTGAAAAATATGTCATGAAAAATTTCAATAATTATAAGTTTTAGTGACAATTTAAAAAATTGTTATAAAAAATCATTAATTTTCAACTTTCAACAACAATTTAAAATTTTTGTCCCATAAAAACGTCATTAATTGTAAGTTTTAGCAACAATTAATAATAATCGTGACAAAAAAAAGTTACTAATTGTCAATTTTTATTACAAAAATTATTTTTCACGACGATTTTATTAGGACTATACCCGACCCATTTCATGCTCTTAGGTCTGGGATTTCGTGTCTTTAACTGTTGTTTATGTCCTTTATCATCTTGTTGGTAGTTGAGAGTTGGGTTGTTGATTGTGTTTGAAACAGGTTAGGAGTTAGTTTTTTAAAGAGTTGATGTCCAGTTTTCTTCTTGTTCGCTTGAGCGGTGTTTTAGTTGCTCGAGCGGTCTTTAAGATCTCCAGTATTTTATAGGTTTGCAAACCTTTTGAGAGTAGGGTGATATTCGCTTGAGTAATCTTTCTTGCGCTCGAGAGGTCTTTTTCAGTCTGCAAAACTTTTAGAAAAGGGTCATTGTGCGCTTAAGCGGTGTTTTGGTCGCTCGAGCGATGTCACTCATTATCTTTGACGCTCGAGCGGTGTTTTGGTTACTCAAGCGGTCTGTGCGTATATCAGTTCAGGAAAAGAAATTTTTGAATCACTTTTTCATTTCTCTCTCTCTAAAACATTCCAAAACCCTAATTTCTTCAATTTCTCTCTAGTTCTTGCTTAAAACCTCAAATACTCAATCATCCATTGATTTCTCCACCATTGCTCTTTGGAGAAAAGGGTATAGCTCATCATAAGTTTCAATCTAATCAGAGAGGATCTCTTTTTCGACTCTGCCAAAATTTCACACTTGCTCTCTTCCTCTTCTACTCTCAAGGTATAGATTTCTTTAATCTCTCATATGATTCTTAGCTTAGTTATTTTCTTTTTGAAAGCATTTAGTGATTTGAAAATTTTTGGTTAAACTTAGAGTTTGATTTTGAAATGTAAAAGAAGGGTTTTCAATTAGGTGCTTGAGAAGGGTTGTGAGAATGTGTTTATGGTTGAGATATGTTTAAATGTTACAATTTCTTTACTTAAATATGATTTTGAAAGTAAATGAGGATTTGTTCAAAAATCATTGATATTTGGTTTATGGAAGAAAAGGAAAAGTATGTGGGGTTTTGAAAAGATGTAATAATTGTATCTGTTGATGATGAGGGTAGAGTTAGATATATAATATTACTCCTATTTTGAAAATGATGAGATTATATCTTTTGTTGAAAAATTATCTGTTAAGTAGAAATATTTATTTTGGATTATCGATGGAGGATAGTTTTGATTGTTATAAAAATTGCATGAGGATTAAGTTAAATTGAAACTAACTTCTCATATATTGTGCATTGAGTATTGTTTCATACTTGAACATTGAAAAAGTATTGTTTTGAGAAAAAAAATGGTGCATACCTTGATGAATCTGGTTAGAGGGTGTGGGTGTGGTTGTGGTTTATATTGTTGGCTTGTGTGTCCTTGGTGAAAGCCTAGAAACCCGTGAAGTTAGGTGCTAATCTTTTCGGTTAGTAGTGGTAAAATG